CACCGGATTATCGGCGAAGGAGTTAACGTCTCGGCGGCACAGACGCCATTGCTGGAAGATGAGCATCCTGTGCCGAGACACATTGTACTACGCCGTCCTAGAACCGCACGAGTCTCTATTTATAGACTTTCAGATTCTGTGACGAGGCGAGCCGACATTAGAAGAAGCCATTTCAGTCAAGGAGAGGAGCCGGTACAAGACTGAAGGGAAGGCCAGAGGCCAGATGTAAGACTGAAGGGAAGGACGGAGGTCAGATATAAGCCTGAAGGGGAAGACGGAGGTCAGATATAAGACTGAAGGGAAAGACTGAGTATGGCTTTAAATATGCTCCTGCACTAATGCTATACAATATGAACCCCGGAGCCAGCACCTTCCTCCTTTTCTGTTTATGGCTCGTTCCTATTAAGGACATAACTGGAATCCTGGTGAACAGTCTGTATAAAGAACAGCTGTTTGGAGTTTAATTTTATATTTTTTCCATTTTGCTCTGGAAATTTTCAACATCCAGCCGGTGGTCCGAGAGCATTGTTTGCTCAGCTTAAACCCCGTTCCTCTGTTTTTTGTTTACTGCAGATATTCTGTGGACCGCCGGAAGACAGCACAGCACCCCCTATACCCCCTCCCAGAATCACCCCCAGAACTCACAAGCCCATCACCATCTCCAAACGTCCGGTCAGAGGGAGGAACGGTCTTTACCTTGGCCAGAGCGAAGAAGGTAATACGTTTTTAACAGACTTTTCTGTGTGCTCTTCCCCTGGAAGGAATGTGTTTTCGACGACGAAAGTATTTTTAAGTCAAACGGCAGACCTGAAATTGTTGAAGTCTATCGAGCAAGGGCCTCTGTGGGACACAGGCAAAGCTTTACATTGCTTAGCCTGCTCAGAGCCCATGGAGGGTTGATCTCTGTCCCAATTCAGTGAGACTTGACAGGTGGAGGTAGAGGGCAGGAACCGAGTCAGAAGAAACTCTGTTGCTATATGAAAAAGTTGCAAATCAGCCCAACTTTTTAGGAAAAGCTTTAATACTTACACTATACAGCCATAAGCATGTGGTCTCTCCTCCAAATGATGGCATTCAGGTGTTTCCAGGGAAGGGTTCTGTTAATACAACATCATACAAGACATTGTAGACAATTGAGCTCTTCCAACCTTGTAGTCACAGTTTGGTGAAGACCCTTTTCTGTTCCACCATGCCTGTCCCCTGTGTACAAAGCCAGCCCCATAAAGACATGGTGTGACCAGTTTGATGTAGAAGAACACAGAGCCCCGACTTCAACCCTACTGAACACCTGTGGGATGAATTGGAACTCCGAATGGTGAGCCAGGTCTTCTCATGCAATATGAGTACCTGACCTCACAAATGGGAAAAATTCCCAAAGGCACCCTCCAAAGTCTTGTGCAAAGTCTTCCCAGAATAGTGAAGGATGTTATAGCTACAAAGGATGGCCAGTTACATATGAATGGACATGGGCAGAGGGCAGCTCCATATGAATGGCCATGGGGAGAGGGCAGCTCCATGTTAATTGCCATGTGGAGAGGGCAGCTCCATGTGAATGGCCTTGTGGAGAGGGCAGCTCCATATGAATGGCCATGGGGAGAGGGCAGCTCCATATGAATGGCCATGGGGAGAGGGCAGCTCCATATGAATGGCCATGTGGAGGGGGAAGCTCCATATGAATGGCCATGGGGAGAGGGCAGCTCCATATGAATGGCCATGGGGAGAGGGCAGCTCCATATGAATGGCCATGGGGAGAGGGCAGCTCCATATGAATGGCCACGGGGAGAGGGCAGCTCCATACTAATGGCCATGAGGAGGGGGAAGCTCCATATTAATGGCCATGGGGAGGGGGCAGCTCTATATTAATGGCCATGGGGAGGGGGCAACTCCATATTAATGGCCATGGGGAGGGGCAGCTCCGTATTAATGGCCATGGTTTTGAATACTCATGGGTGTCAACAGCAAACATATATGCAGAACAAGAATTCCATTCTGAAAGACAGAAGATTGTGTGAAGCTTTCACTCTGTGAGCTCCAGAAAGGACTCGTTCTCGTCTCATCCAGAGCCCCACTAATGCTGAACCTCTCTCTACTGAGAAGCAACAAAGCTATCTTTTGTTGAAGTATCTGGAACCTTCTCTTCTCAAAGCCTCCCAGGACTCTAACCCACTCCCAGTTGAGAGACTAACTGTCCCCATCAAATTGGGTTCCTGTCCCAGACTTATTCACTTCCCAATCCAGGGCTCCTTTGTGAAGGATATGATGCTATTCAATGGCCACCAAAATCTTGCAAGAACTAGACACATGCTCTCCCAATATGCTTCTCAGGGCCCATGTCACGTTACTCTTATCCTGAGCTTCCATTAGTGCCAGCAATAAATGCAACTGCTTTGTTCACACTGCCAGAAAGGGGACGTGAATTAATGGTTGTAAGATTGCTGCATCATTTCCTGGCACAGCTAACGCAACAGAGTGACCCTTCACTCCTCAGGACCAGCAGAGGCCACCCCATCCAGCTGCCTACAAGCTCCTATTGATGTGATAGTCAGGTGCCCACAAACGTTTAGCCATATAATGTATTTTGAAGGGACATATGTATGGCAACAACAATGGCATACAAGCCCAAGAAAGTTTCCTCCTGGCAGGAAATGGTGAATGAAATGTTGCTGGTGCACACCCCGTGATCACTACGCTCATGAGGGCTGCTTGAGGACATCCAGCCTGTGTAAATAAAGCTAATTACCAATCTCTGCCTTTTATAGTCGGCGCCTCTGGTGAGGAATGTGTGTGAAATGGACAGTGTCTGCCAGAAAGGAGGGTGAGGGTTGGCATATCATGTTTAGGTAGTGAGGCTTTCCTGTGATGTACAGAGATGGAATCTGAGTAAAGGGGTCTTGGTGATGGATGAGCATATCACCAAACGAGGGAGAGGAGTGTGAACAAGTGGGGAGAAGCTTTCAGGGTGGCAACACTTGAGAGGTTGTAAATGGATGTGACCATCAGCAAATAGCTTGTTAGTAGACGAGAAGGACACAACACATGGATGAGCAAAATGAAAAGAGCACAGCACAGTGCAATACTGTACGTCCAAATTTCCATGCAAAAAAAGGTCTTGCCAAGTCCAACAAGGAATCCAAATATAGGTGTACACACATCTTGCTACTCCTACTAATAGAGGAAGACCAAGAAGAGGGCGCGAAAGACTTTTTGCATTGCAAAAAAGACACATGTATTTATTAAAGGAGAAGTATGAGGTGAGTGCTTTTCACTCACCTCATAGTTCTAACCGACCTGTGACAATGAGACTGTCACAGGTCGGCTCAGTAGATCGGGAGGTGAGCGAACACATACCGGCGTTCGCTCACTTCTCGATCCTGTCACGGCTCTCTGCCGTGACAGGGGCAGGGGCTGGATTCCCCTCTCCCCAATCCGCCAGCGCTGATTGGCGGATCGGACGGGGGAGGGGGCGTGTACAGCTGGCTCTGCCTCTAGATAGGCAGAGCCAGCTGTCACTCACGCAGCTGGGCAGATCCAGACATAATTGTCGGGATCTGCTTCAGCTGCGGCGTCTCAGTATACCGCGAGCAGTAGCTTGCGGTATACTGTGGCGTCTCAGAATATCGTGAGCTGTAGCTCGTGGTATACTGAGCTTAGGGTGACGGGAGGACGCTTGTTTGTTTCCTCCTGTTACCCTAAGGAGAACTATGGGGAAAAGCCTTAACCCCATAGTTCTCCTTTAAAACCAACAATCTTGTACTCACAAGGTAGGGATAGTAGTACAAGGCCTAAGGTCCCCCAGCAGTAACCCACCCTTCATGGCCAGTGATGGAGCTGTTCATCAGATGTTCTAGCTGTGACGGGAGGTGCTTTCAAGCAATGGAGAACACTGCACAGAGAAAATGTGGAGCAGGTTCCTCTGCAGACACCGACTACACTGCTGGAACATCCACAGCCAGTGGAGGGGCGATCTCGCAGATGTTCCTGCAGCATAGCAGCCCTTGGTGTCAGCAGAGGAACCATGTTCTGTTTGTGCTGGATCCTCCATTGCTTGTCAGAGCTGGAACATCTGAGATACAGCCCCACTGCTGACCATGGAAGGTGGGCTCCTGCATCTATTGGACCTGCTTTGATGAAAGTGCTACTATCCCCAACTTCAATTTTAAGTGCAACTGTGTCTTTCATTGTACAAGGTCTTCAGCACCCTGATTGTTCTTGCAGCATATGGATGAGCTAATAGAACTCATACATTTGAGGATGCATACCTTATTTTAATGTCCCTTTAGTTTGGTCACATGACGTGTGTGGTCCTCCTCTTCCCACCAGCAGTTGGTGGTCCTCCTGCACAGAACAAAGCGTACATATCCACATACAACAAAGGGTTGTACTCTAAGCCCATGCTGATGTGATGATTCCCCCCAAAGAGGCGGGTCCATGACAGCCTGGGCTTACAGGAAGTGAGTTGAATATGCTGGATGTCATTCGTTCAAGAAGGTGGCTTGCAGTGGAGGGTGAGGATTGAAACCTTGAAATGTTAAGGGGGTCAAATCTCCAAATTTTTGGGATGAACACATTGACAATTTCAGAAGGGTTCTTACGCTCTCCATTTTGATTAGAGTTGTCCTTTCATCTGACAGCTTAAGTCATTTAAGATTTAATCTGATGGTAATTAGACAGTCTGTGAAGTGCAAACCTTTTCCCCAGTCTAATCCGTATCTACATGGGTAACTGGACGTTTAGCTTGGTTGCCCACAGGCTGCATTTTACAGATTTCAAATAATTTAAAATGTTATTTGGTTTACATTAAACGCCATGACAAAGGAATCCCAGAGCACTGGCTTAGCTAAAAAGACCACAAAGCTTCCTGCCTTTTTGGCTGGTTTTGTCTGATTGAAACCTCAGGTGCAGCTGTCGGGAAAATGATGTGGTGTCAAGAATATGGCGGATTTGTTGGCGGCTCTGTTCTTTTTAGTCTCCGTAATATGAAGGCATTACCAAGTACTTTGTGTGCTTTCTGCAGATGACACCAGTTCTCTGAATGGAAACTGTGCGATCACAAACAGCGACCACCCGCTCCCTCTGCAACGAAAGAAGACAGCACCCCGGGTGGAAGCTCCGCAGAGTCCCGCAGAGCAACATTCTGACGTCGATGTAGCCAAGATGCTCTCTATGATGCAGGACAGAGGACCCAAAAGTAATGCAAACCATGTCAATGGAGACCTACCTTTGTACGCTATTCCCAACAAAGTGTCTCCAGTGTACCCCAAGCGGCCTCTTGTCCGTCCCAGAGAAGGTGAGATTCTGATCAGTGCTCAGATACAAAGTAACATTGTATATAAACATTGATCAGAGGGGAGATAGAGAGATACAAAGTAACATTGTATATAAACATTGAGCAGAGGGAGATAGAGAGATACAAAGTAACATTGTATATAAACATTGATCAGAGGGGAGATAGAGAGATACAAAGTAACATTGTTTATAAACATTAATCAGAGGGAGATAGAGAGATACAAAGTAACTTTGTTTATAAACATTGATCAGAGAGGATAGAGAGATACAAAGTAACATTGTTTATAAACATTGATCAGAGGGAGATAGAGAGATACAAAGTAACATTGTTTATAAACATTAATCAGAGGGAGATAGAGAGATACAAAGTAACATTGTTTATAAACATTGATCAGAGAGGATAGAGAGATACAAAGTAACATTGTTTATAAACATTGATCAGAGGGGAGATAGAGAGATACAAAGTAACATTGATCAGAGGGGAGATGTTGTTATTTTTGTATCTACTCTAAAGATAAAAGGGATGATCTTCCATCTTCGTACGTGGATTGCAGTACACGAGGCTTCCCGTGCTATGTGTTGCTGCACATTACTGATCAGGCTTTGCCGTATTGAACGCATCCGATAACTTTATAAATTCGTATAATGGCTCCTCACCAGTGGAAACATTTTTTATAATATTATCTTATTGCTAGTAAACTTCTTTTTTTTAAACGGCTTCCTTTCTCTTTTCTTTCAGGTGAAAGTGAAAACATCAGTAAAGTTCGCTCACCGGGAGAGAGGCCGGTCATCTCCCGCCCACCAGTAAGGCCACCAGACCCTCCCAGCAGAGCGGCCCTAACCCCCAAAGCGGACGCTGCCCTGGGTGGAAAGGAGGACGTCCCAGAATCAGTGTAAGGATAGACCAGCGACGGCTGACTCATTAAAGGATGCCAGTCAAATGTTTATATTAGCGGAGCATCTGCTGCCATGCCATTTGCACTGCGCAGAACAAGATAAAATGAGTTCTTACAGGAGAAGGAACCCTAATGATGTGACCTTTACTCTGCTAAGGCGCTGTGTGTCATAGACAATTGCCATCTTTTTTTTAATAAAATGCATCCAGCTTCTATTTATAGATCCATAAAGCAGATGTGAAAGATGTGTAACTTACGTTGTCTCCTCCTACTTTTTTACAGAGTCGCCTCCCGTACCAAGTTTTTCGAGAAGGCTTCCAGGCCAAGGGGAAGGTGACGACTCCGTTTTACATTGTCATCATTTTTTTAATGTTTGTAGATTGTTTTTCTTCTAGAATATTAAAGTAAATCAGGGCCATTGCTGACTTCCTGCGGAGGATGCTAGTTGCCTGGCAGTCCTGGAGCATGCATGCTGCCAATCGGTGTAGGGCCAGTGACCCAGGAACTATTTGTTTTTTATCATTTCGGATGGAATAGGAAACCGTTAACAGCCCTCTGAGGTTCTTCTTTGCCACCCTGTGCCCCTTTCAGGAGATTTCCATTCACTTCCTGTCCTGTAGACACAATAGGAAGTAAGAGGAAATCTCACTAATGCAATGTAAATTCCCTTTTGGACAGTTGTCACCAGAATAGGTGTCCCCATTGGAAGATTTCCCCCTAATTCCTGTCCTGGTGACGACTCAACAGTTTGGATGTCCCGTGACTTTTGGGCCTGGTGACAATGGTTACCAGGGCGAATAGAGAGGGGGAATAATCCCAGTCGGGTTACAGCAATAAATGCATGACGGGGTTCGAATTTATCATGACTCCTTTAAAAATATATATAGGAATTCAATACAATATAAAGTTATAGGCAACTGCCATTATCAGGAGAGGCCAGCAGGGGCAGGCTCCATATTCTCTCAGCACAGGTTCCCAACCCTTTCGCTGCCAATAAAAATTGCAGAAAATTCAAAAATGGCTTGGCCAGCTGATTTGAAAAATGTTCCGGAGGGCTTGGCAGCGAAAGGGTTAATGCCATAGCATTCTTCATACATAATGTGAAGATTAATGCTAAACTGTTCTGTTGGAGGATATACCATATACCCATATCCAGCACATTGTTAGGGGTGTCCCCATATACCCATATCCAGCACATCGATAGTGGTGTCCCCATATACCCATATCCAGCACATTGTTAGTGGTGTCCCCATATACCCATATCCAGCACATCGATATGTGATGGGAAATCCAAAATGTAGGAGTTGTCACCGGAACAGGTGTGATGAAATGGCCGCTTGTAGTCTCCATCGGACGCCCGTGTGACAACCCGGGAGCACAATTGGGAGACAGGGGCACCGTGTTGTCACCCTATAACAGGAAGTGACCTTGAAATGAAGTGAAAGCTTCTGTGAGATTGCTGTGATTTGGGTTTACATTTCGTTATCTGTTTGCACCGTCTCTCCTTTTTGGTTTAATATTTTGAGTATTTCAGCTCCGGAGTTAATGCTTTTGTGGTTTCTCGCACAGTCCGCCGTCACCTCCCCAACGAGTTCCCAATTCAGAGGAAAGCTGAATCTTCAAGGTATAAAAACATGTTAATAAAATGATCTGACTTTTGTATGAAGTGACAATCTTTAAATGTATTAATACCGGACGCTCATTTCCCGAAACGCGTCAACGCTCAATGTAAAGCATCCCATTATTTTCAATGGCGCCCATAAGGGGCGTGCCGATACCGGTTTTTCACTATCGAGTACATCCAAATTGTAGCGTTATTCTTGGCAGTACGGTTTTCCAAATGTTTTTTTAGGAAAGAAGGGACCAAAGGCTGTTTCTGTCTTATAGCGCTACTGCTATTCCCTGAACACCATTCACTTGACTGCCAGTGCCACCAGATCCCACCTTTGCTTACATTGACTGCCAGTGCCACCAGATCCCACCCTTCCTTAGATTGACTGCCAGTGCCACCAGATCCCACCTTTGCTTACATTGACTGCCAGTGCCACCAGATCCCACCTTTGCTTACATTGACTGCCAGTGCCACAAGGTCCCAGCTTTCCTTAGATTGACTGCCAGTGCCACAAGGTCCCAGCTTTCCTTAGATTGACTGCCAGTGCCATCACGTCCCCACCCATCCTTAGGTCGAATGCGCCTGCCACCAAATCCCACCTTTGCTTACTTTGACGGCCAGTGCCACCAGGTCCCACCTTTGCTTACATTGACTGCCAGTGTCGCCAGGTCTCAGCCTTCCTTAGATTGACTGCCAGTGCCACCAGATCCCTCCCTCCCTTAGATTGACTGCCAGTGCCACCAGATCCCTCCCTCCCTTAGATTGACTGCCAGTGCCACCAGATCTCACCCTTCCTTAGATTGACTGCCAGTGCCACCAGGTCCCACCCTTCCTTAGATTGAATGTCCATGCTACCAGATGATCCCACCTTCTGCTTACATTGACTGCCAGTGCCACAAGGTCCCAGCTTTCCTTAGATTGACTGCCAGTGCCATCACGTCCCCACCCTTCCTTAGATCGAATGTCCCTGCCACCAAATCCCACCTTTGCTTACTTTGACGGCCAGTACCACCAGGTCCCAACTGTTTATCTTGGTGTCCCTGGTAGAATTTTTAAGGGTCTATGTTGACTCACTTAACGCAAGTTTTGCATTCCCATAGAGGTCTATGAGAATGCTAAACCGGTTTTAAGTGGGTCAGAAGGAGGCCAAATGCAACTGCCAATGATTTCTAAATGTTCTCAGAAGTGTCTCAAAATGTCATCGAAACAAGGCCAAAGCCCGTTGACGCAGGCTGCAATGGAATCGGCTCAATCCTTTTTCTATAAACACGAGATCTCTCGCAGAAAACATAGTACATGGTTCAAAAAACTAAGATCAAAGAAAGTGTAAAGTTACTATATAAGTACCAAATAGTTTTCAGCTGCACCCAACATAGTAAAGCCCAATTCCAGCCCCCACCACCTGCCACAATCCAGATTTCGGGACATCAGTATATAAATGCAATGGGGGAAAAAAAAAAGTTTTTTCCAGCATGAAACAAGAAATGTATCCGGCAGCAAGTATTAAACTATGAACATATATAATCATTAATATCGTCTGAACATTAATATTGCATGGTTGCTATTCAATTCCCTGGCCCAATGAGCCTAGGAAGCTTAAAATTAAAACTATGTTGGGTAGCTGCCTCAGGGTAGCTATATCCTTAGCTGATAAAGTGAACATTTAACAAAGAAAGTAGAGGAATGATGAGGTGGAATGTATTTTAGAGGCGAAAAATACTGGGGGGGCGGGGCTGGGGTGGTTTAGGGTAGGGGGAGAAGGAGTAAGCTTCCCATGAAGATATATTCTCGAAAAAAAGAGACCAATCAGTCTTTTATTGTCGTTTTGGATAGAGTAGAGAAGGGTTAAAATTAGGGATGCACCGATACCGAGTATTTGGGCTAGTACTCGTACTCCCCCAAATGTTCCGATACTTATCCCCTCCTGAGGGAGATTTCCTCTGACCGGCAGTGCCGTGAGGGAACATGGAGCTGGGGCGCAGGTAATGACTTGCGGCCCGGCTTCCTGATTGGCCGGGAAGCCGCCTCCATGCTGTTTGTCTGGCTCGATGCTGATTGGCCGGGAAGCTTGCTTCCCAGCCAATCCGCATCCAGCTGGCAATCAGGAAGCCGGGCCGCGAGTTATTACCTTCCCTTACGGAAAGCATAGAGCTGACCAAACAGCATTGAGCCGGTCAAACACCCGGCTCGATGCTGGTTGGCTGGGTAACCAGCTCAACTAATCAAGAAGCCAGGCGGCACGCCGTGACCCGCCTCCAGGCTTCCTAAGCCCTCGTTCACACCTGAACGTTTTGTAGCGCGTTCTACGCTCGACGAACGCTCTACAAAACGCTCAAAAATATAAATCCCATTGTATTCAATGGTCTCGTTCCCACCTTGGCGTATTTCCGCCCGTCCCTAACGCGCTACAAAACGGCCCACGCCTGAAAAGGTACAGGTACTACTTTGGGCCGTTTTGTTGCGCGTTTCCATTGGGCTACAGCCAAGTAGCCTTCGGAAACGAGCGACGGTCGCGCGACAGACTCGCATATGCAATACGCCTAGGTGTGAACGAGACCTAAATGGTCAGGAAGCTAGGCAGCCTCGGCAAATGAAGCCGGTGTTCTTTCGATGGAACACCGGCTTCCCAGGCAATCAACATGGAGCCAGCCAAACAGCATGGAGCCGGGCAAAAAACAGCCGGCTCGATGCTGATTGGCTGGGTAGCCGGCTTCCCTGCCAAACAGCATAGAGCTGGCTTCATAGCCAATCAGAAAGCCAGGCAGAAAGTAATGACCCGCCTCCCCGCTTCCTGATTGGTCAGGCAGCCATGGCAAGTGAAGCAGGTGTTCTTTTGAAAGAACACCGGCTTCCCAGGAAGCCGGGCGACGGGTCATGATCCGCCGCCTTAATTCCTGATAATCTGGGCACCAGTATTGGTACTCGGTATCGACAAGTACCAAAGAAAAATATCGGTACTCTGTGCCAGAAAAACAGTATCTGTGCATCCCTACTCACCACCATGACCGGAATGAATGAGAACCTTCACAGACTCTACCAGAGCATCATTGATTAATAAGAGTTTAGTGGTAGTCACTAGAAGTTGAAGTTTGTTCTCAAGAGTCCACCATGATGTCCACATTACCATTTTGCCTTTTGTCTTCCAGGATCTAACCCTTGTAGTAACCTGGCTGGTCCCAGGACACATTCCAACCATCTTGCCAAAGTGGTTCGCGCCGGCAGCTAGAAAAGGAGCTTGTTCCATAATGGACTCTGGTGAACAGGTTTTCTGATGAGCCCTCTATTAATTCACCGCTGGGACAGTCTCCTGAAAGGTCACAAGTGGATGGAAAAACATAAAAACCCTGAAACTCATTGAGCCATGCTCCTCACCTGCTTGTCATCACTGGAAGGAATGAACTAAAACATAGACTAGAAGATGAAGTGATGCAGTAGATATGGGGTCAACGATATACAAGTATGTTCCTCATACCAATCTGCTTGTTCATTCCACTTAGGCCTCTGTCCAGGTCTAATTAAGGACCTCTCAGCAGGTGCCACACCAAGGGCACAAATACTCCTCTGTCTTATATTATCAGCTCATAAGTGTTTTTAAGTGAAAAGCGGAATGAATGTAGAACAGTAGAATCCATTCTGCACTGCATTCCACTATTTATTAATCCGTTAGTAGAATATTTACATGGCTATAAGAAAATCAGTATGTTTATGTTTGTAATGGAAGACCTTAGACAAGGTGTTTCTTAATGATTGTGCAACCCTGTACAGTAGCATTGCACTAATGAAGGTCAAAACAAACTATGAACGATGGATATACATTCAGAGTTCTTCAATCCAAAGCAGCCTTTCTCAACCAAGGTTTTGTGAAACCCTGGGGTTCCTCCAGGATTTGCTAAGAGTTCCTTGAGCACTGAGCAGGTTCTGACTCGCAGATAGGTTACCACTGGCACCAATGAACTTTTTAGCTATGGTGTAATGAGGTCCTTCTCTAACTGACCACCAGAGTAATGAGGTCCTTCTCTAACTTACCACCAGAGTAATGAGGTCCTTCTCTAACTTACCACCAGAGTAATGATGCCCTTCTCTAACTTACCACCAGAGTAATGATGCCCTTCTCTAACTTACCACCAGAAGTATTTGGGCTAGTACTCGTACTCCCCCAAATGTTCCGATACTTATCCCCTCCTGAGGGAGATTTCCTCTGACCGGCAGTGCCGTGAGGGAACATGGAGCTGGGGCGCAGGTAATGACTTGCGGCCCGGCTTCCTGATTGGCCGGGAAGCCGCCTCCATGCTGTTTGTCTGGCTCGATGCTGATTGGCCGGGAAGCTTGCTTCCCAGCCAATCCGCATCCAGCTGGCAATCAGGAAGCCGGGCCGCGAGTTATTACCTTCCCTTACGGAAAGCATAGAGCTGACCAAACAGCATTGAGCCGGTCAAACACCCGGCTCGATGCTGGTTGGCTGGGTAACCAGCTCAACTAATCAAGAAGCCAGGCGGCACGCCGTGACCCGCCTCCAGGCTTCCTAAGCCCTCGTTCACACCTGAACGTTTTGTAGCGCGTTCTACGCTCGACGAACGCTCTACAAAACGCTCAAAAATATAAATCCCATTGTATTCAATGGTCTCGTTCCCACCTTGGCGTATTTCCGCCCGTCCCTAACGCGCTACAAAACGGCCCACGCCTGAAAAGGTACAGGTACTACTTTGGGCCGTTTTGTTGCGCGTTTCCATTGGGCTACAGCCAAGTAGCCTTCGGAAACGAGCGACGGTCGCGCGACAGACTCGCATATGCAATACGCCTAGGTGTGAACGAGACCTAAATGGTCAGGAAGCTAGGCAGCCTCGGCAAATGAAGCCGGTGTTCTTTCGATGGAACACCGGCTTCCCAGGCAATCAACATGGAGCCAGCCAAACAGCATGGAGCCGGGCAAAAAACAGCCGGCTCGATGCTGATTGGCTGGGTAGCCGGCTTCCCTGCCAAACAGCATAGAGCTGGCTTCATAGCCAATCAGAAAGCCAGGCAGAAAGTAATGACCCGCCTCCCCGCTTCCTGATTGGTCAGGCAGCCATGGCAAGTGAAGCAGGTGTTCTTTTGAAAGAACACCGGCTTCCCAGGAAGCCGGGCGACGGGTCATGATCCGCCGCCTTAATTCCTGATAATCTGGGCACCAGTATTGGTACTCGGTATCGACAAGTACCAAAGAAAAATATCGGTACTCTGTGCCAGAAAAACAGTATCTGTGCATCCCTACTCACCACCATGACCGGAATGAATGAGAACCTTCACAGACTCTACCAGAGCATCATTGATTAATAAGAGTTTAGTGGTAGTCACTAGAAGTTGAAGTTTGTTCTCAAGAGTCCACCATGATGTCCACATTACCATTTTGCCTTTTGTCTTCCAGGATCTAACCCTTGTAGTAACCTGGCTGGTCCCAGGACACATTCCAACCATCTTGCCAAAGTGGTTCGCGCCGGCAGCTAGAAAAGGAGCTTGTTCCATAATGGACTCTGGTGAACAGGTTTTCTGATGAGCCCTCTATTAATTCACCGCTGGGACAGTCTCCTGAAAGGTCACAAGTGGATGGAAAAACATAAAAACCCTGAAACTCATTGAGCCATGCTCCTCACCTGCTTGTCATCACTGGAAGGAATGAACTAAAACATAGACTAGAAGATGAAGTGATGCAGTAGATATGGGGTCAACGATATACAAGTATGTTCCTCATACCAATCTGCTTGTTCATTCCACTTAGGCCTCTGTCCAGGTCTAATTAAGGACCTCTCAGCAGGTGCCACACCAAGGGCACAAATACTCCTCTGTCTTATATTATCAGCTCATAAGTGTTTTTAAGTGAAAAGCGGAATGAATGTAGAACAGTAGAATCCATTCTGCACTGCATTCCACTATTTATTAATCCGTTAGTAGAATATTTACATGGCTATAAGAAAATCAGTATGTTTATGTTTGTAATGGAAGACCTTAGACAAGGTGTTTCTTAATGATTGTGCAACCCTGTACAGTAGCATTGCACTAATGAAGGTCAAAACAAACTATGAACGATGGATATACATTCAGAGTTCTTCAATCCAAAGCAGCCTTTCTCAACCAAGGTTTTGTGAAACCCTGGGGTTCCTCCAGGATTTGCTAAGAGTTCCTTGAGCACTGAGCAGGTTCTGACTCGCAGATAGGTTACCACTGGCACCAATGAACTTTTTAGCTATGGTGTAATGAGGTCCTTCTCTAACTGACCACCAGAGTAATGAGGTCCTTCTCTAACTTACCACCAGAGTAATGAGGTCCTTCTCTAACTTACCACCAGAGTAATGAGGTCCTTCTCTAACTTACCACCAGAGTAATGATGCCCTTCTCTAACTTACCACCAGAGTAATGATGCCCTTCTCTAACTTACCACCAGAGTAATGATGCCCTTCTCTAACTTACCACCAGAATAATGAGGTCCTTCTCTAACTTACCACCAGAGTAATGAGGCCCTTCTCTAACTGACCACCAGAGTAATGATGCCCTTCTCTAACTTACCACCAGAGTAATGAGGTCCTTCTCTAACTTACCACCAGAGTAATGAGGTCCTTCTCTAACTTACCACCAGAGTAATGATGCCCTTCTCTAACTTACCACCAGAGTAATGAGGTCCTTCTCTAACTGACCACCATAGTAATGAGGTCCTTCTCTAACTTACCACCAGAGTAATGATGCCCTTCTCTAACTTACCACCAGAGTAATGAGGTCCTTCTCTAACTGACCACCAGAATAATGAGGTCCTTCTCTAACTGACCACCAGAGTAATGATGCCCTTCTCTAACTTACCACCAGAGTAATGATGCCCTTCTCTAACTTACCACCAGAGTAATGATGCCCTTCTCTAACTTACCACCAGAATAATGAGGTCCTTCTCTAACTTACCACCAGAGTAATGAGGTCCTTCTCTAACTTACCACCAGAGTAATGATGCCCTTCTCTAACTTACCACCAGAGTAATGAGGTCCTTCTCTAACTTACCACCAGAGTAATGATGCCCTTCTCTAACTTACCACCAGAGTAATGATGCCCTTCTCTAACTTACCACCAGAGTAATGATGCCCTTCTCTAACTTACCACCAGAATAATGAGGTCCTTCTCTAACTTACCACCAGAGTAATGAGGTCCTTCTCTAACTTACCACCATAGTAATGAGGTCCTTCTCTAACTTACCACCAGAGTAATGAGGTCCTTCTCTAACTGACCACCAGAATAATGAGGTCCTTCTCTAACTGACCACCAGAGTAATGATGTCCTTCTCTAACTTACCACCAGAGTAATGATGCCCTTCTCTAACTTACCACCAGAATAATGAGGTCCTTCTCTAACTTACCACCAGAGTAATGAGGTCCTTCTCTTACTGACCACCAGAATAATGAGGCCGTTCTCTTAACTGACCACCAGAATAATGAGGCCCTTCTCTAACTGACCACCAGAGTAATGATGCCCTTCTCTTACTGACCACCAGAGTAATGAGGTCCTTCTCTAACTTACCACCAGAGTAATGAGGTCCTTCTCTAACTGACCACCAGAGTAATGATGCCCTTCTCTTATTGACCACCAGTGTAATGAGGCTCATCTCTAACTGACCACCAGAGTAAAGATGCCCTTCTCTCACTGACTCTCCCAATGACCACCCATGTAAGAGTGGCACATTACTAACCATTAGACCCTCTCCTACACCTTTAATGGGTTTCTCCCCAATAGGGGCTTAGTTACGAAGGAGAATGTGTTGAAGGAGTAGAACAGGTTCTGGCGGTGAGCTTCTCTCAATGACCACCAATATAATGGGGTTATTTTCTCACTGACTCTCCCAATGACCACCAATGTGAGGGTGTTACATTGCCAACTGTAAGACCCTCTTGTACTCCCTTAGTGGGTTTCTTCCCATTAAGGGCTTAATCATGATGGAGAAACGTGTCAAAGGAGTAGGAGAGGGTCTGGTGGTGAGCTTCTCTCACTGATCACCACTGTAATGGGGTCCTTCTTTAATGGACTCTCTCTCAATGACCAACCATGTAAGAGTGGCGCATCACTAACCACTAGACCCTCTCCTACACCTTCAATGGGTTTCTCCCCAATAGGGACTTAGTCATGAAGGAGAAAAGTTGGAGTAGAACAGGGTCTGGCAGTAAGCTTCTCTCACTGACCAACAGTGTAATCGGGTCATTTTCCAAATGTAAAGGTGGCT